ACGATTGTCTTTCATCATATATATTTCACAAATGTAAATAAACGATCAAATTATTGATGCATGAAGCGAATTTCTTCCTAAGTAAACAATCGGTTTATCATATAGCCAGCGACTATATTTCACACGTGGATGTCGCTTCATCAATGATTATAATAAATATAAAATATTAAAAGATATAATATTTCACATTCGAGCATTGACATTACTGATGATAGCAAAACATACATATACACTTTTAGCATTGTAACAGTTGAATAAAGGAAAATGTTAAACAATATTACAATATAACAGTTGACGAATTTTTCTAAGTTAACTATATTAAGTTTTTATTTATGTTTTAATTGATAAAAAAATGTTATTGAAGGAAAATAATTACAAATAATTTTATAAATTAAAAAAATAAAATTCTGAATCATTTGATGATAATGATGATTGAATGTGCAGGTCAGCAAAAATAACTTCAACAAAATGATTCATCAAAGTTATATCTTTATGTATAAGTTAATATTGAAAGAACATAAAACAAGAAATGCTCTTTTATATGTATAAGACTATCATGTTAAATGTAAATATTGTTTAGGAACGATTAAAACTGATAATACAAACAATTATTTGTTTCATTAATATTCACGATATTTCAACTAGCTAACTTTGATGATGTATGAATTGTCATTCATAAATATTTATTATTTTACAAAAAATATAAAATAAAACTCAAGTTTGTTAAAATCAATCGAAATATCTAGTATATTATATATAGTGAACTGATCGCAAATTTTTCATAATGTCAGCTTCTAGTTGATAGATACGCTTGCTCCAAAGGATTTTAGAGTTTTTCAAGTTGTTAAAATAGTTTTATTTCTGTTTACGTAGGAAACGTCATTTTTATTATCGAATAAAAGCATTCGTTTTAGAAAGGAAGAACACATTTCTGTATTCACTTAATCATCATAATCGATTGCATATTTCTTTTTTTTTTTTTGTTTTTCTGATTTTTAGAAATTCGATAATGTAAAATAACATCTAAAACTCTGCATCTGGAAATTTGAAGGAAAATAGATGCAAATAGAATTCTTACTAGATAAATTTCATAACATTCATAGATATGATCCATTGGCTGATTTTATACAATTATCTAAATCTCTTCAACTATATGCTTGGTCCAAGCAGGCAAATAACTGATAATTCTTATTATTATCCACAATTTTAAAAGATAACTCAATATCATACCCTGAATACACAACAGATATTTGGCAAAAGTGACATTCTAATTAATATACCCAAAAAAATTTTGAATTTCACTCTTATTTTATTGAAAAACTATTTTCCATTGTTTGTAAAAAAAAATACTATTGCGTTTGTTTCATTGTAATATTTGGTCTTAAAGAATTACTTGTTCATGTATTGGCTAGGAACGGATTCGACCTATCAATCTTATGATACAGATCTATTAGATATTTAGATTTATCTTTTAAAAAGTTATTCTATTTCGTTTGTATCTCCCCGAACTTCTAGAGAAAAATAGAGATAAAAAGAAGATACTCTCAAGAAAAAAAATACTATGTCCTCATATCATAGGGTTTATAGCAGTCATGAATCAAGTCTCATTTCAATGGAATAGGTTTATTATGCAGAATTCTTTTCGTAGTTGAAGAAATAATTCAATCATAAGTTAAAACATGATTTCTGGAACAGACCATGAAAAAAAAATCTTCGAAGAATATACAGACTGAGAAATGAAAATAAACCAATTTTTTTATTGAAAACTTTATGAAGTATATTACTCTGCTTGGCACATTCATCTAACATGCTTGCACTTTTGTTCTTGTTTATTGTATTATCTCTAAAATTTAATTCTCACAAATCATCTGTTCATTCCGAAATACATGAACAATGAGAATTTATTTTTCTTGTCAACAGATTTTTTAACGATGAAATAAAAAAAATGTTTTTCTTGTTTTTTTCAAAAATAGTGCTTCAGTCCGCTTTGAAAGAAACTTTCTTCGTTACTCTTCAATAGATAACTAGCCATAAAAAAAATTGTTTCATTCTACTTTAAATAAAATGCACATCACATAGAAGATGTGAGAACTGTAATAGATTCTAAGGTCTTGAAAGACATCAATACAGATGCAAGATACTTATTTTGAACCTAGATAATATTCAAAGAAAGTTTATAAATGATATTACGGTTAAAAAAATAAGAAAAAAGAATGTGACAGTACTAGGCATCATCGTTTATGTCATCCTTTTCTTTTACTACTCTTCTCTTCCAAATGTATTTCAGCATATTTCTTTGGTTCTGCTTTACTTTTCTAATAAATTTTCTGACGATGTAGTTCTTATGCACGCATCTACTAAGGTAGTAAGCTTGATTAAATACTACAGTTCTTTTTTCTTTTATGGATGTGTGTCGTACTGTCGTTTAATATCAATTAGTAGATCAGACTTAGTTGGCATTCTTTTCTGTAGCTATACATATGCGAACAAACACAAGTCCAGACATTTGTGATATGATATTACTTTCTTAGCGTTATACTTGCCGTACATCTTTTAAACATCTCTAAGAACGATGAAAAATTGAAACAAGTAATGATCTCATCTCTAATCATGAACAGTTTTGAACATTTATGCATTAATCAAAGCAAATTGTACTTGTGATCACAGGAAGCAGCCCTTGTCTTCTGCATCGAGTCTAACAATATGTAACACAAATATTGACATTGAATATTTTAATAGGAGAATGGAGAATATCAATGAAGATAAATGATTCGATGTGAGATACCAACGTTCATCTATTTTAATTAATCTTGTTTCAGGAATTTGTTATAATTCATATTTTTACACAAAATTTGACGGAGTGTGGGTGTGAGTGTAGTTGTGGGTGTGGGTGGGTGTGGATGCGGCCGGGAATGAGTTGAGGGCAGATGTGGGTGTGCCCGACCGTACAAGAAATACTAACACCCACACCCACACCCCTATTTAACTTTAAAAAAAAGCATGAAATCAAATCGTTCCGTGACTCTGATTTTGATAATTTACATACTAGTTGACATATGAAGAACTATCGATAATTAATTGTCTTACGATTAAAAAAAGTATGAATACTTTTTACTATATAAAAATAATTCAATGTGATGATAATGACGCATGTTAAACTGTTTTACCTCGATAATATTGATTGATAAATATTTTTCGCATTTGCTTGTGAACTCATGCAACAAGTCATTTGAATAGAATGATTATAGAGTGTGTATCACCTTTCAAGAATCGATTAGAAGTTATCCATAAAGAGCATCAAAGAACGACTTAGGAGAGAATCTATCTGATAGGAGATTCTTTTGCTACTGATATTATGTTTATTTGATCGGTTATGGAAAGTTTAGAATAAATTATTTATTTGTAAATCTTTGTTTGTGAAATATCGAAATTTTACTGTGCTTCTCAATAAAATGCTGTAGTTTTCATTAATCCATACGACAAATTGATATCATAACAAGCACAAACAAAGTTTTCAATGAAATTGGTAGAATGTGTAACAACAGTAAGCATTTCTATTATGAAAACATATGAATAAAACTTATTTTCAGATATACGATAATTCCTAAAATTAAATGTCTCAGGAGAGAAAATAGTAGAAAAATTGCAGTTTTCTCAATGAGTTAATCTTATTATTAATTTTGTTTATATAAAATTTGAAGTCGTAAGTCAATTTTTCATGAAAGCGGACTTAATACGAAGAAGTCTGGATATCTTGAGAATGAAAAGCCAAGAAACGAAATCATTCTAGACTTTTCTTTCAATTATCAAATGAACATAGTCTTCGACGAAAAATGAGTTTCCACATTAAGAAAGAGGTATCTTCCTCAGACAAAACTGGACATGATAAATATCGTTAGTATCTTTTTAAATCTCAAACAGACATTATTTTTGACCAAGAAAAACCTTATTTTGTGCTCAGTATATATCGATTTATCTTTGTCTTCTTTGCATATCTGGAGATTTATTAATATGATATTCACTTTCGAATGAACTCTAGATAAAGCAATAGACAGAATGAGACTGACAAAAATTTCTTATGCTTTTTTGATTGAGCTATCTATTTATGTAAACAAGTTACATATTAATCATATGAATAAATAATAATGTTATAAATTAGTCAACATGCCATCGAATGAGTTATCTAAGATTAATAGTTGTCAATATCTTGTCTAAGACCATTTCAATACTGTTGGTACTGAGTTTTGAACAACGAAACTACTTATTTATCATTATCATTATTGTTTAAATATTTGCCCTATGCATTCGTGAAAAACTTTTTTTTTTCACAAGACTACAACACTAAATATTTCATTCGGTACTAATAACCGATTTGTGGCATGTTCGTGCTTATGTTATATTAGTGCTATTGAGAGAGAAAGATTCTATAGATTTCTCGTCCAATATGGAACTGTAGAAAATGCTGCAATCTCACTATACTGAGCAACTATTTTTGTAGGGTGTGGATGATAAAAGAAGAATAAATTCACACACAACGTTATGTTGATTGCACTAAAAGCTTTTTTTTTTATTTATATTTAGACAAACTATTAAAACAATATAAAATAGTATTTTTCAGATCAAATACTGAAATGGCATTAATATGCTTTTCAATATAACAATGAACGTTATGAAAAATGTCAAAGTTGCGTACATTTTTATTATTAGAAAAAAAAAATTTCATAAAACTGTTCAAATCGATTGTTATTTATTTGTCAAATAGTCGACTAGAGAAAATTATCAAAAAAATTTGAACCAATCTAAATAGAATGATATTTCTATCTGCTTTTGCATTTGCAATTTTTGATATGTCGACGTTCATGGTTTAATAATTGACCAAGAAAACAATGCTCGTCCGATGCTCATAAAATGATCGACAATGAAAGGTTATATTATGTATATATAATGATACTTGTGTATGCACAACATTTTGCTCCAGAAAACGAACGAAAACAGACAAAATGGATCAATTGCCGTATGAGTTATTATTTCATATTCGTCGATATATTGATCAACTATCAGATCTATTACAAATGGCTTATGTCTGTAGACGTTGGCAGTCTTTGATTATGGAAGACGAATATTTTCTTAATCAACGTTTTTCTCAATCGTTAAAATGCTCACAAAAATCATATTATTTTAACTTCTCTATTTACAAAAAATATTGTAATCCACAGTTTCTGTTCAATATCGATCGATCATTATTTCCAGTCAATCTTCAATCAAGTCATTGTCAGTTTTTACCCTGGACTGACCCAGAACATTCATGTAATTATAAAACACTCGTTGAACTTGGTTATCATTTATCATTCTTTCAATCGTCACATTCTTTCTCCTTTTGGGTCTTTTTACCTCATCAATCCGAATTAAATATACAGATTGGAAGTTTAAATGCCGATGGTGTGACTATTGTGCTCTGTGCTGATCAAAATTATTATTTCGACAAAGAAAAACGTTTATCGATTGCTGATCGATGGACTCATATTGTTTTGAACAAAATTGATTCACACCGTTATTATCGAGTATGGATCGATGGACAATATGTTTCAAAACCAAATCAGTATTATTTATACTGTTATGAAATGGACAAGAACGATTTTCTTATTAATTTAGTATTATTTCGTAAGTATGACAGTAATATATTAGAAGCATCTAGAAAGCCTCGTTTAGCCGATCTCAATGCTTTCACACGATGTTTGACACCCGTCGAAATTCGAGCTATTCATCAACAGCAAACATTAATCGACCAAGTTAAAGTTGGAACCTTTATTAAGAACAACAAAAAGCACAACATCGAAATCGACTGACTCTGCTAATAAAACTATTTCTCATATAAATTCAATTTATTGTTTCTTGTATTTTTGATATTAATGACATATTATTTTCTTGAATTTGAATGTTCAAAAACAAACAAATAGTTCATGAATTTGAAAGAGAAGTACTAAATATCTTGTTTTCTTTCTGAAATATTTAATGATGTTATCACAATTCGATCTATCGATGTCATCATTAAATATTTTGTACTGATAGAGTACAATAGAAATAAAAGATACATATGTAAGCAATAGATATTATTACTGCATGAAATAGATTTATCATAATCAATTTTGGACATGATAAATAATATTTATAAATAAAGCAGTGAATTCAGTTGATGATACGACTCACATTACCTATAAAACTCAAAGTTGGGTCAAGTTTCCGAAAACATTATCAACAGTTTTTTTTAAAATAGAAACAGAAAGATTAATTTAAAAGGATTTGTTAGAGAATACTTTCATAAAATACAAATCGATGATCTTGTTATTCAAAAGAATTTAAGCGATATCTATGAATAAAATCTCTGATTGATAATAATTGTTGGTAGTACTCATCACGTTATCAAAACATTTTATCAGTCAGTGATGAACCTTATGAGACAAAAACTAGGAAAACTACAATAAATTATTATTCAATAAACTAAATAACATAGTATTTTAATATATATGGTGTTTAGAGAAGTATGATAATAATAATTATAGTGCTAACTAATAAACAGGTATCAGGGATCAATGTGCATTGGCATTATAGTGAAGTTGCTGCTAAAAGTTACTTTAAACTTATAATCATTTGAATAAGAGAAGAACAGATTTATATGCATATAGATGTATGAACCACCACCGGTTTATGATAATCTGAGGTATAATATGTTCATAGTGAAATTCTGTTTATTCAGAAAAGAGATTCATACAAATGTTTACAGCTAAGCACAACTTTATTTCTGTTTGGAGAGTTGAAAATTATCAAAAAGAATAATCCAATTTATTGCATGTTTGTCGAGTATTTTTTTTCGAAAACAAATAATATTCAAATAAAATGTTGTCAAGTTTCATTAACAACTTGATAAGAGAAGAAAAGAATAGTATAAAATGAGGATGAGACTGAGAGCAATCTTTGAAAGTCCATTTGTTACATTTACTAAGACGATGTAAGAATGGTAAAAGTTATATAAAAATTGGGTGTACTGTCATAGAATATTTCTTCTAAGTGGTACTTTAAAAAAAGTCTATTTCATTCACTGAATATTAGGTAGATAATGATTGCAGTAAACGTCTGTTATACTGTTCACTTCAAAAATATTTTCGCTGTATGCCTTTGTAACTTTAAACTTCTATACTTTGCTCTTTTTTTAAATAGTGGGTATACAATGAGAAAGAGCAGACTTCTTTGCATCATATTGTCTGTAAGCCATAAGTGATAAGTGCAGCTAAGAGGAGAAAAAATACATCAGGAGAAAAATGACTTTTTTTCGACCATTAATGATTCGTGTTCAATATATTGAAGAAGATATATTTATCCAGGTGATCGATCATTATAAACATGCATCCTATTGCAATCGTGCATTTGTCATATGCATTCTTGATCTTTATCTTGGTATAGATAAAAAGGCTTCTAAAAGTAGTGATAGAAAATATGTTGTTACTACTAAAGGGTGATCCATAAGTCTTGGGCCCTCTCAGAAAAAATTGTTGTTTTCTATTTATTACCAATTCAAAAAAGCTCAAAATTGGATATATGATCCCTTGTAACATGGTGAATATTATCCT